CCTGGTGGGGTGTTCTTTTCATCCAGATAGATCACGTTGAGAGAGCCCCCTCGTTTTTCCAGAACCTTGTGTTCGAAAACCCACATATCAAGCATACAGGACTTCCTGGAAGCTCTCCAATTTCTCCTGGCACCTTTGACGGCCATCAAACAATCACAGTATACTCACGAATCTCCTTTGATGGCCACAGCCACCCGAAGCAGTGCAACAGGCTCGACACGTGGGGAAGACTGCCGCTCGCAAGGTACGGTACCACGGCGTCGATCTCACCATCAGCACCTAAGTGGACAATGAACCAGCCGCGCCTGCGCAATCTCCAGTCCTTAGAGACATTACCCTCTGATCCGTTAATGCCCCAGTCTCCTCCCTTACTACGCGCCCCAGACACGAACCGACCTGGGACCCAGACCAGGTCCCGAAGAGGGGAGAGGTGCCCCACGGAAGCGTGCAGAGATTGGGAGACCACGACACCATAAACTAGTCTTTTCCTGCTCAGCAACTGCACGATCGGCTAAGTGCTGGGTATTCTCAATCGTGTGATCGGGGTCCTGATGATTACATTGGCTCTTCCACAAACGACGCCAGCTTCAAGGTCAGTTTCAGGGTCATAAATGGTGGGGAAGTCTCAGGCGAAACGCCCAGCCCGCTCTAAAAACTGGCCTCAGGGTGCGACAGGGATCACTTATTTAAGGAAAGGAGTGGATGAGGAGGAGGAGGAGGAGGAGGAGGAGGAGGATGGATGAGAAGGAAGTCGGTATAAGCGACCTTTAGGTCGACACCTCTGCACGTGCGCCAGAAGACGGGGGATAGGGGCCCGCGCCAGGGCCCAACAGAGCAGTGGTGGCCGATATAGGACCAGTCACGACTTGCCAGCGATACTCAGCGCGCCGAAGTTTATCCTGAACAATTTTCCCATGATCGTTTTCTTACTCATTCTTTTCGCCGATCGGCGCCGGCCCTCGCACCCCCTTCCCCCATGGAGTAGATCTTGACTGTTTGTGACGCCTGTTTCAAGCAGGTAGAGTCTCCCCCATAGGACGCACTGTTGCAAACGGTCGCATTAAGTAGAGGTCCAGAGCCAGACCCCCCCTCCCCCTCCTTCCGCCCAACGTCGAAACGCCGAATAAGGAAACGGGCCTTAATCACGCTGCATACGGGTTCATGATCCAACTAATTACCAACATTTCAGAAACCATTCAGCTGTGCATACGTGACCCTGAACTGGGGGTCATCTTTGGTACTACTCAGGAGGCCCAAACCGGTGGTGGTGCACGCGCCAGGGGTCCACCACCGCCCAGAACACGTGGCCGCTTGAGCTCTCATTGTTTCAACCTGAGCGGGCGACAAATCCAACACTTCATGGCCCCAGGACCCCACAGCCAGAACAGCAGGCTTGTGTAGCTGTTTAACATATTCCCCTGCTCGCTCCCTGCCGCCGCCGCCACTTTTCCCTGCGACGCCGTCTTGCGCCGCAGGTGTGCTTGATGGATCAAGGTGCCAGCCCAGTGACCGGGGTCGGCACCGCGGGCCGACCCCCTGCGTTAGTGCAAGAGGAATGGAGAAGTTATGCCGCCGCTTCGTCGTCGTCCCTTCTCCTTCTCTCCTGAATTCATTGTTCATCAGCTTGACGGACAGTTGAAGGCATGTCGATGCGACCCACATTGAGCAGTGGTGAGACCGAACGACCGAACCATCATCATTTTTAATCCCACATTTGCCAGGAATGGCGTTCTTCCAGCGAATATTTTATTATTCGCCGAAATAAGCTCAGGTCGAATCGCCGCCGAAACACATGAGCAAACTAGCTCGGCTAGTGAAGGCGTCGCGCTTGCGTCTGATGCGCACGCAGTTGTGAATGTTGTGCCAAGAGTGATGGCGGAAGAATTCTCGGGCAATGTGTTGCATGACATAATGCGCTAGATTCCCCCACGTCTCCGTGGAATATCTCTCATCGATGCGCCGTTTGTTTCAGAACAAGGGAATGTCTTGTCGTTAGTTCAAGCAGTGGGGCGATATGATAAGTTGGGTCACGACATTTCAGCCATCTTAGATGATGGCGACATCAGTTCGGAGTGCTCGTCCTCATGGGTCACTGGGAGAAAACCGTCGCAGTGTCTCAAAGTGAACATGCGAGAGACAGCGCTGTGGAGACTCGAGCGGCGAAGCGCCCGAATGTACCGGACGATGTCGTCAGTATGGGACAAGGTGCGCCGATGCAGATGTCCAGTTTGATTGGAGGTTCGCTCGACGATTATGCTTGTCTCGTAATACGAGAAACTGAAGGATACCTGATCAATTAGTGTCGTCACATATGAGCCCTCGGTGTCCGAATTCTCGCTCGCCTCTAGCCCTGCCGAGGGCATGTGGGCTGGGGACTTGGAATGGACGGCGGGGCGCTGTCGCTGACACCCTGCGCCCTTGCCCTTGCCGCGACAGCTACTGGTTGAACCCGGTGACTGCCTTCGACGGCGTGATCGTCATCGCTTCCGTCATTTCGAAGGCCGCGCCAGCTGGAGGAGGGGAAGGAGGGATGGGAAGGAGGATGTGGAGGAGGAGGAGGCGGAGGAGGACGTTTTCGAATGTTCAGCAGGTTCAGCTAGTTTCTGGAAGGGGAGCTGTTGTCGAGCCTCGCTGTGGCACGGCCATTGCCAACATGCTTTGCCAATGCTCAACGCTCTCGCCATCACAAGGACCATGACTTCCACTTCCAGTGGAGAAGCAGCAGGAGGAGAGGAGACGAGGGGAACGAGGAGCAGCTGAGGGGAGTTGAAACATGGGGGACACCAGGCACTGGAGGACGAGATGAGGCAGAGCAATAGCAGCAGTAGAGTGAAGAGAGGGAGAAAACCTTGGTCTTGAGTGTCTGGGAGAGAATGAGGACTCGGATGAGGAGGATGGATGGATGGAGATAGGGAAGATGAGGATGATGCGAATGATGTTGGTGGTGGTGTTGATGTCCGGTGATGACGATGATGACGATGACGTCGATGATGATGATCATGATGATGATAATGATGACGATGATGATGATGCCGATGATGCTGCTGCTGCTGATGCTGATGCTGATGCTGATGATGCTGATGCTGATGCTGATGATGCTGCTGCTGATGATGGTGATGATGCCCTACGCTTTGGCGCCGTTGGTCTAGGCTCGCTGGGCCTGCACAACCACCTGAACGCGGCACACAGAGGGGCTCCCCCCCTCGGCTGGACTCTGAAGCGGAGTCAACGCACAAAAGAACCAAGACGGAGACGACGGTCCCTTAGTCACCAGACTGGAATGTTTGAAGCGGCTAACCGATCTCGAAACCGAATCCGAGCTATACCTCGACCTTCACCTCCTCCTCCCAGTCAGGAGGAGGCGGGGGAGGAGGACGAGGAGGCGGATGATGATGATAATGATGATGATGATGATGATGATGATGATGATGATGATGTTGTTTATGATGATGATGATGATGATGATGCTCATGATGATGATGACGACGATGATAATCATGGTGATGGTGATAGTGATTATGATGGTGATGCTGACGACGACGATGCTGACGATGATGATGATGAAGATGATGATCATCATGATGGTGATGATGATCTTGATTGTGATGATGATGGTGAGTGATGGCGATGCTAATGATGATGATGATGCTGATGATGGTGGTGATGATGATGATGATTGTGTTTGTGATGATGATGATGAGGGTGCTGATCATGCCATGATGAAAACGATAAAGTTGATGATGGTGATGATGATGGTGATGATGACGATGACGATGATGACGATGATGATGATGCTGATGATGATGATGCTCATAATGATGATGATGATGATGATGATGATGCTGATGATGATGATGATGATCATGACCATGCTGATGATGATGCTGATGATATGATGATGCTGCTGCTGATGATGATAATACTGATCATGATGGTGATGATGATGATGACGATGCTGATGATCATGATGATGATGATGATGCTGATGATGATGCTGATTCTGATGATGCTGCTGATGATGATGCTGATGATGATGATGTTGCTGATGCTGATGCTGATGCTGATGATGATGATGGTGATGATGATGATGATGGTGATGGTGATGATGATGATCATGATGGTAATGATGATGATGATGGTGGTGGTGATGATGATGATGATGATCATGGTCATGATGATGATGATGATGATGATGATGATGATGATGGTGGTGGTGGTGATGATGATGATGATGATGATGATGATGATGATGCTGCTGCTGCTGCTGCTGATGATGATGATGATGATGATGATGGTGGTGGTGATGATGATGATGATGATGGTGGTGGTGGTGGTGATGATGATGATGATGATGACGATGATGATGATGATGATGATGATGCTGACGATGATGATGATGATGATGATGATGATGATGATGATGATGATGATGATGATGATGATGATGATGATGATGATGATGATGATGATGATGATGATGATGATGATGATCCATCTGCTCAGCGTCAGGGCGCAGAGGGTTGGAGAGTTGTTTCGCCGCTCGGCACATCGATATGCAAGGGGGTTTTTGGATGCCATCAATCGCGTGCACGCTGGAGGTTTAAAGCAGCAGGCAGGCCGCCCCGTTGAAGGGCGGGATCGGCGAGGAACAGACGGATCGGCAGGACGGACCCAACTGGGCGCCATTCGGATGGCCTTGGAGTTTGCCGACGCTCGCCGGCCGACTGCGGTGACAGGCGTGCGGGCCATCGGCGAGCTGCTCAAGTTTGGTGAGATAATCCCCTCGGGTGCTCTCAAACGCCGGATTCACATTCTCTTCATCGCGGACAGAATCGACGAGGTCACCACCTACAGCGTTGTGGACATGCTGGCGGCCCTGCCGGAGCCCGAGGCGCAGTTCTACGCTGGCGAGAGCCGCGTGGTGGAGTGGAGCAGGAAGAGCGCGCGGCAGCTTCGCGAGCTCGAGGAGCATTTATTCGGCTTGTTCGGCGGCTCCCAGGAGGAGCGGTTTCGCTGCCTCTGCCGCTCCGACGCCGTGGGCCTTCGTGCTCAGCGGTATAATCTTCACTGACGGGTCTGCCATCAACCCTGCGTGCGACGACGCGCGGAGGGCTGGTTGGAGCCTCGGGGCTGCGACCAATGAGTGCGGAGAACTGATTTCAGCTGCCTATGGGGCAGTTCCTCGTGAAGAGGCTCCGTGGCAGCAGGCCAGAGATGGTGAGGATTGCGCCTGCAGGGTGGCGGCAAAGCTTGTTGAACCGTTTTCCGACAACAGTTTTTTCACGGATTGCCAAGGGACTCTTGGGTGTGTGTGGGACAGGGCCAGCAGCTGCTCTTCTAAAATCCTCGGTCTCACCTCTGGACCAGGGCTTGGCAAGTTTTGAAACAGGAGTTGCCGCGACCAGAGTCAGAGGACATGCGACTGTGGCTGACGTACTTTCCAGCAGGTGTTCGGAGGCCGAACGCCTCGGGAACAAGCGTGCCGGCAGGTTTGCCAAGTTAGGTGCTACGCTGCGCCTTTTGCTTGAGCATGCCCTGGAGATCCGCTCGGCGTTGGTCGAGCATCAGAAGGAGCTGCTCAGGTGGGCTGGCACTCAAGATGTCTTGATGGCCGATAGAGGTTGGCTGGACGCTTCTGGTTTCCCTTGGCCCGTTGCGGTGGAAGGAGACACGAAGCCATTTTCCCAGACTAGCGTTGCGTCCCAAGCTGCCTTGCAGAAAAGGTATGATCGCGATGGACGACGGATGTGGGTACCTTGCGTCGATTTTCAGGTGCTCATTGTTTCTGATACTGCGGCGGGAGTGCCCGCTGAAGTTTTGTGCGAGACCACCCTCCTGTCACGTTTGCAGGGCGTCAACCTTGGCAAGGCGAAGATTTTCTTGGGGGACGGCGGGGGGGCTGGCGGGAGCGGGTGGGCGACGTGCTGCCTGAAGTGCGGAGGGTATGCGTGGTCTGGTGTTTTGTCGTTCGCGGGTATTTGTCAAGGACGCCCGAAGCCTCAGGACCTCGAAAGCAGAGGTCCAGGTTTCTCAGGGGCCTCCTCCCGTCCTGGTCTAAGCAGTACGCTGGATGGACCGTCTCGGGGCACGGTGTCCCGCCCCCCTCGGATTTGCGGGCCCTGATCAGATCTGCTCGCATGGGGGTCCAGGCCATGTGTGCTGATGACCAGAACTGCGTTTTCGATTTTGTTGAAGGCCTGTGGGAGGAGAAGCGGAACCCTTCACAGTTACAGTATACCTATACGATCACCCTTCGGGTGATAAGGAGGTTCGGGGGGGGAGGAACCAATGTCTCACTCGATCGGTCTCACTATCGATCTTACTATCGATCTCAGTGTCGGTCTCGTTCGATCGATCTCACTCGATCGATCCCACAATCGATCTCACTCGATCTGTTCGATTCGATCGATCTCACAATCGATCTGACAATCGATCTTTCAATCTATCTCACTATCGATCTCACTATCGTTCTCACAATCGATCTCACATTCGGTCTCACTATCGATCTCACTATCGATATCACAATAGATCTCACAATCAACGTCATTCTCATCATCATGATCAGCATCATCGTCATCAACGTCATCAACATCATCATCATCGGGGCCCCGGCATCATCACCTCATCACCATCATCATCAACATTATCATCATCACCATCATCATCGGGGCACCATCATCGGCACCATTTTCATCATCATCATCAACATCATCCTCATTGGGGCACCATCGTCATCATCGGAACACCACCATTATCATTGTCATCATCATCATCGTCACATATTCATCATCATCATCATGGACATCAACAACATGATCATCGGGTCACCATCATCACCAACAACACCACCAGCATCAACGTCATCATCATCGGGACACCATCATCATTGTCACCATCATAAGCATCACCACCATTATCATCATCGGGACACCATCATCATCAACATCATCATCATCACCATCATCGGGTCACCATCATCAAAATCATCATCATCACCTAATCTTCATCCTCATCATCAACATCGTCATCATTATTATCGGGACACCATCATCGTCACCATCATCATCTACATCATCATCATCATCATCGAAACACCACCATCGTCACCATCATTGTCATCATCAACTTCATCATCATCAGCATCGGGGCACCATCATCATCATCATCATCATCATCATCCTCATCCTCATCATCATCATCATCATCATCATCATTATCATCTTTCTCATCACCATAGTCATCATCATCTCATCATCATATCATCCTTTTCAACATCATTATGTTCATCAGCATCACTATCTTCATTGGGACACCATCATCATCATCAGCAACATCATCATAAACAGCATCATCATCATCATCATCATCATCATTTGGACAGCATCATCACCACCAGCACCATCATCATCATCATCAACATTGTCAGTATCATCAACAACATCATCGTCATTGGGACACCATCCTCAGCAACAACATCACCATCATCAACGTCATCATCAT